GATTGTATTTTTTGTTTGTTTTTTAGTCTTTTTTCGAATTTGTAGCCTCGTGTTTTGTGTAGACATTGGCTTAAGTGTCGGTCTACTTGTGGCGTGCACCGTGCCTTTTGGCGAACTCTAGTGACCTTACGGAATGAAGGAGAAGGACGGAATTTTTAAAGAGGAAAACGATTTTGTGTTTGCGTACAAGGATTCAGTGATTTTTTGTTTGACTCTGCCAGGTACATAATTTTTTAGGCTATTGGTGTTTGCCTGTGTGTATGTGTTTGTGTCTATGTGTATTAGCACTCCATTTCACAGGGGGGCAATGAATTAATTTTCTCCTGAAGCGTCTCTAAACGGTAGAGCAATGGTAAGAAAGTGCTAGTCACAAGGCTTTGTGGTAAGATTTATTATTGTGAGGATGCCATTGTTGTCATTTTTACTTCAGCTTGAGTCCATTATCTCCTTTTCAGTTTTGTTAGACCCCTCATCATACACAACTTGCGCACTCAGCCAAAGTAAGGATGTCGCCTAATGACGCGATGATCGCGCGTGTGTGTCGCACGTTCAGCGATGCCTTTGCAATGGATGAAGCGACGGCGAAGGAGCGGGGGAAGAAGTACTGGGTCAGTCGAGTTCTGGGTTCCGGTGCGACCGGCACCGTACTGTGTGCGAAGCGCACGTCGGATGGGGAGTCTTTTGCCGTGAAGGTTGTGGACATGGAGGGCATGTCGGAAGCTGACAAGAACCGCGCACAGGCGGAGGTGCACTGCCTGCTGAACTGTGACTTTTTTTCCATACTGAGGTGTTACGAGGACTTTGCAAAGAAGGACCTTGCCGACGAGGAGAATGTTTTGATGATGGCACTGGTGCTTGACTACGCAAATGCCGGGGATCTCCGCCAGGAGATCAAGAGCCGTGCCAAGGCGTCGCGAACATTTCGTGAGCACGAGGCAGGTCTTCTTTTCATTCAAGTCTTACTTGCGCTTCATCACGTGCACTCGAGGCACATGATCCATCGCGACATCAAGACTGCCAATATCCTCCTTTGCAGTAATGGACTTGTGAAGCTTGGCGACTTTGGATTTAGCAAGATGTATTCCGCCACTGTTTCGGGTGACGTCGGCAAGACGTTTTGCGGCACGCCGTACTATGTTGCGCCGGAGATTTGGCGACGGAAGCCCTACAGCAAGAAGGCCGATCTTTTTTCCCTGGGTGTGCTGCTGTACGAGCTGCTAACGCTGAAGAGGCCGTTTGATGGCGAGAATATGCAGGAGGTGATGCAGAAGGCGCTGGCTGGGAAGTATGACCCGCTGCCGACGACGATTAGCCCTGAGATGGCGGAAGTCGTATCGATGCTTCTCTCTGGAGACCCGCACGTCCGTCCCTCGACCAGTAAGCTGCTCAACATGCCCATTTGCAAGCTGTTTGTTTCTGGTTTGCTCGAAATTGTGCAGACACAGTCTTCCTTTGCGGGGCCGCTACGTGAAATGATATCAATGAACATTCAGGACGTAAAACGGTCTCTTAAAGAGGAGAAACGCATTGCCGTCAGGCAAATGGAGGAATCACAGTCGACTGCTGCTGCGTCCACAACGATCCTGGAGGGGGCAACCCCAATGGGAAGCGTAGGGGACCTCACGCTGTACGAAGGCATCGTGAGGAAACAAAGCGGTGACGTTGCGTGGAAACGTCGGTACCTGTGCATACGCGGGGCACTTGAGGATGGTGAGCGTCTCGATGCAGGGAGGATGCCGAGGTTCAAGAGCCTGGACCTCGTACTGGCTGTATCGAAGGAGACGATGCGGCAACAGTGCATTGCGACGCCGTTTTCCGAGCTGGAGGATGTGTTCCCTGTCCCGAGCAAGTACACGGGGTCGAATGCGCGGCACGTGTTTGCTGTGGCCTTCAAGACAGGAAAGCGTCTTCTCTTTCAGGCACGTGGTGATCCTGAGCGGGATGAGTGGATGCAAAAGATCCAGGAGGCTCTCGGAATTGATGACGAAAACCAGATTCTGTAGTTCTGTTGTTATTGAGTGTGTGATATTTTTCTTTTTCATCATGGTGATGTATTTTTTGTTTTGTTTTTAGTCTTTTTTCGAATTTGTAGCCTCGTGTTTTGTGTAGACATTGGCTTAAGTGTCGGTCTACTTGTGGCGTGCACCGTGCCTTTTGGCGAACTCTAGTGACCTTACGGAATGAAGGAGAAGGACGGAATTTTTAAAGAGGAAAACGATTTTGTGTTTGCGTACAAGGTTTCAGTGATTTTTTGTTTGACTCTGCCAGGTACATAATTTTTAGGCTATTGGTGT